GGCGGGGGGGGTAAGGGGCAGGGAGGAAAGGGGGGACAGAGTACAGTGAACGATGCAGAGGAGGAGGCTGGACTCGGACACGCACTGTTGCGGAAGAGGAAGCAGGGCATCTCAGGGTCCACCCGAACGCAGTCGAAGTAGTGTTTGTTCTTCAGGCTGCTGTAGTCCAGCGTGTAGGTGATGTCAAAGGCCAGGCGCTTGCCCGGTGGGCAGCCGATAAGCACCGGCACCATCAGGTTTCCCTGAGTGGAAGGAGAAAATCCTCACCTGGGAAGTGGGAAGGAGAGGACTCCCCTCCTCCCACGCACACTATCACTACCTGCCAGGCTCCCCCTCACCCAGGGGGGCAATCTGATCATTCTTTTCCTTAAAACAATACTCTGATAACTGCGAACACTTATGTAGCTTTTACTGTGTGCAAGGAACTGGTGTTCTAAGCACTTTACACATTCAAGTGCATTTGATTCTCCAAACAGCCTTGCATGGTAGAGGCTATTAATACCTCCATTTTAGAGATGGCAAAAGTGAGGCACAGAGAGGTCAAGTAGCTTATTAATTATCCAAAGCCACATAGCTGTTAAGTGGTAGAGCTGGGATCCAAACTGGGCCAGGTAGCTTCCAGCTGCCTCCAGAGAAAGACATACATAACGCTTACACCAAGGAAGCAGCCAACTCCTAGGCAGACTTTACAGGGCTGAAGTTNAAACAATAACAATAACGCTTACACCAAGGAAGCAGCCAACTCCTAGGCAGACTTTACAGGGCTGAAGTTGGGCCTGAATTCTCAAGCAATTGACCTGGGGGAGCATGGGATATATGAGGGAAGGGGTCAGGGAACCCTTGTGACATTGTCTTCAGAATGAATGACCCCTGGCCCATTTCAGGGGTAGGGCCCAAGGGTGTCACCCAATTGTCAAATGGACATGGGCATCCAGAAACTGTGGTCTGGGTTTCACAGAGGCTGTGCAGATGAGTTAGCAGCCATAGATTAAGCGCTTCTCGTGCTGGACCCAGGCCAAAGACTATACCTACCAGCCACTTACTCACTAGTGGGCATCTCCAATTCAATCTATCCACACCGATCTCAACTAATGGCACTTCATCCCTCCAGGTGTGGACTAAGAGCCTTGGCCTCATCCTGGAAACCTTTGTTTCTCTCATACCCATATCCAGTCCATTCAGGTAGCCTGTCTAGACTTCAAAACAGAGCCATTCTCTCCCATCTCTCAGCTCCTTTGCCCTACTCTTGCCTGCCTAATTTTGTTTCCTCCTTGGTCTCTCCTCCGCAAACATATGCAGCCAGAGGGCCCCTGTGAACACCTCAGTCACTGCCCTGCTCAGAGCCCTCCCCTAGCACTATCTTGCTCACCGTGGTCCATTAGACCTCATGTGATCTGCCCCCATCCCCACTTTGACCTCATTTCTCACCACTTTCCTCCTTGCTGGCCCTGATCCCGCCACACTTGCCACTCCATGTTCCTTTATTCTAACATATGAAACATATTCCCTCTTATGGATCCTGGCCACCATGGTTCAGCAGTTGAGCATTGACCTATGATCTGGGAGATCGAGGTTCAATTCCCAGTCCCAGCACATGCCTGGGTTTCGGGCTCAATCCCCAGTAGGGGGCATGCGGGAAGCAGCCGATCAATGATGACTCTCTCATCATTGATGTTTCTGTCTCTCTCTCTCTCCATTCCTCTCTCTGAAATCAATAAAGACATTTTTTAAAACAATTTTTTTAATTAAAAAAAATGAAACTTATGGAGACTGAGGTGAGTCACGCTACCCTGCACATGACCCGAATTAGCTCCTGTAATCCAAGGTGTTCAGGCTGTTATAACCCTCATTTTTACTGCCCTGGGTCATACCAAGCCAGGAGGGAGGAGCACCAGGGTCTGTCTGCTGGTTTGTGGGCAGGGAAGTGGGTGAGAACAAGGCCTCTGGGTCACATCCCTCCTCTACCACTTATTAGCTCACTGGGTTACTCTGAGCAGATGTCTGCAACTCTTGGAGCCTCAGTGTCTGCCTCTGTGCAAAGGGGATATTACATGTGTAAGCGGTTGAAGAACCAAGGGCCCAAAGGAGTGAACAAAGCACATGTAAGTGGGCACATGAAGAGCTACATGTAAGAAAAGGGCCAAGCTGGTTCACATGGTGCCTTTGTGCCAATTGGAAAAGGAAGTCCAGCCTGGCTGGCCTGGCTCAGCGGTTTATCATAGACCTATATGATCTGGGAGATCGAGGTTCGATTCCTGGTCCCCGCACATGCCTGGGTTTTGGGCTCAATCCCCAGCAGGGGGTGTGCAGGAGGCAGCCAATCAATGACTCCCTCATCATTGATGTTTCTCTCTCTCTCTCCCTCTCCCTTCCTCTCTCTGAAATCAATAAAAACATATTTTTTTAAAAAAAGAAAGAAAAGGAAGCCTATGTCACAGATACATTACTTCCCTCTGAAGAAAAGTATCAGAAGGAACATATAAGCTTGGGTGCAAGCTACATAACTGTAAAGGCATCCCTTTCTGAAAACAGAAACGGAGGAAAGGAGTGTGTGGGTGGGACTCCCAGAGAGCACAAAGAATCAGTCCTGTTTTCACTCTACCCAACCCTTTCCCTCCCAGCACAGGGCCCAGTACTCCAAGGTCCAATACTTGCATGCGGGGCCCCTGGTCCGTTTTCTGGAAGCAGTACCCAGTCGACCCTACCACCTGTGGGTAGGAGCAGGTGTTGAGGGTGGGTCCCATGGGCTCAGCCTTTCCCGTCATTCTGTTTCCCTCCTCTCCAGGCTTGGACCACACCTTGACCAGCATGGAGGTCTTCATGTAGTTATGTCCACTAACAGCCTGGTCAAAGCAAAACCTTTTATCCCTGAGCGTAATCTGGGGATGGGGAAGAAAATGAAAGGGTCAGCAGGCATGCCCAAAGATCCAGGGGACGGTTCAGGGTACCAGGAGCTTCCAACAGGTCCACTGCCCCTACAGCTCACCACCTGGTCTCACCTGGAAGAGCACCGAGTTGCGATTAACAAAGACCTCCTGCTTCACAATCACCTCAATGCAGCCTGGGTCCGCCACCACCACGCCCAGGTCCACTGAGCTCTGTGCCTGGTAGAGTTGGGCTGTTTGGAGCACAGGAGAGGTTAAGGCCTGGAACCAGACCAGACCCCCACCTTCATGGTGCTCAGGTCCCAACCCCCCAGCCCCCTCCCTCTGACTCCACGCAGGCCCCGCCCACCGACCGGGGTTCAGATGAGACTTGAACGAGTATCCCCGGATGTTTAGGAAGATGGAGAAGCTGTAGCTGTTGCCCTTGTCCAGGTAGATGCGCTCGGGCAGCTGGTGCTCGGTCTTGAAGTCGTGGACCTTGTGGTAGTTGTCCATGTCGATGTGCACCTTCCCCGCAGTCTGCCAGTTGCTCGCCAGGTAGTAGTAGTAATCCTGGGGCATGGGAGGCAGGGCAAAATCAGCAC